GGAAAAATAATTGTTTGGCGGACACATCCCCCCCCCCGCCACCGCCCAAGCTGCCTGCCGACTTCTATGCCGTAACCCCCCCCAAGCTGCTTACCTGAATGATGATGTTGTAGACGGTACCGAGGAAGTAGAGCGGCGTGAAAAGGTTCATCATGTAAGTGTTCACGGACACGAACTCTCCCACCGTAGAGTCGCCGTCCACCACCGTTTGGGCGGAGAAGTACAGCCCTGCAAATATGGTAGGACATACGAGGCGACAATTCGGAGGGAAAGAATAAAAAGTGGTCAGAAACATACCAACGAAAAAGGAACGAGGGAAAACGACGTTGGGAATCGGCACAAGACGAGGCGACACAGAACTAGAAAGATGGCGAGGTAAGGGGACAGTCCAAGTTCGGTGGTCGACCCGCTGTGTAGCTCCGAAAAAGAGGGACGTTACCCCGAAAGCACGCATGACAAAGGAACAGCACCGACAACGAGAATAACACCAGCAGTGTAAGGACAACGACGACCACAGAGGTCCGTAAATGACACAAGATAACACATCCCCCTGGACCGATGTTCGAAGCTCGATTACTCCACGACGAAGAGGATGCATCAACGAAATGATGCATTTTTGAAATGATCTCGACGAGGCGGTTCCAACGCCGCCGTTTTCGGCGCTGTGACTCTTCCTGCTGTTGAGAAATCGATCTTTACAAATCGGTCAAGGGGGTGTGTTATCTTGTGCCATATACGGTGCTGTGACTCTTGCTGTTGATGAGAAATCGAGCTCTGAAAATCGGTCAAGGGTGTGTGTTATCTTGTGATATATATGGTATGCATAACAAGGACAAAGAAAAAAGCAAAGACAAGCACCACAAGCAAGATGGAAAGGGGGAGGTGAAACTCGAGTGGAAGCAGGGCTTAGACTACAGCAGACAGCAAGTAGAACAAAAAAAAAACGCCAGCTCCAGCATGGGTGGGGATATTTGCAGCTAGCTGCAAGATGCGATAGAAACAAAGAGAGGGGCGTTGAAACGAATGTCCGAACGGTGCATGTAAAGTCAGTCTAGAAGCACAAGAGCTCCGCTTCACGTGTGATACATACTCAAGGCTTCGAACAAAAACCCACAACACAAAACGCGCTGAAAATTCTATGAAAAGCGGTAAAACATGGCTCGAACATGCGGACGCACCCATCACGTACCTAGCGTGAGGGTCGCGTACATGATGAGCTGCTGGGACACGTTGAGGATAGAGAGCGAGGCCTGCGTGCTGACGCTGAAGCGCTGGTACTCCTTCACGCTCTCCTTGACCCGGGCCACCTCGAAGTTCTCGTTCGTGAAATATTTCACGGTCTCGTAGTTTATGATGCTGCAAACAGCAACACGGGAAAGGAAACGAAAAGACCGTACCGTGGTTCATAGTGCTGAAAATAACAACACGGGACGTGATGAAACGAGAAAAACGTACCATGGTTTATGGCGCTGAAAACAACTCGGGAGACGAAACGAAAAAAACGAACAATAGTTTGTGATGCTGAAAGAAAGACGGGAACAGACGAAACGAAAAACGTACCATGGTCTACCATGCTCAAAACAGCAACAGGGCAAACGACGAAACGAAAGAAACACATGTGGCACGAGGGTATAGCACTCGAGACAACTCAAGGTTAAAATTTGCACAGAGAAGAACGACTGCTTCGCAATAGATGATGCTGCAACGGCAACAGGATACAAGAAACAACAGGCGCAACGAAAAAATCGTGGCTCGAGGACATACGCAGTTTAAGAAAATCCAGGGTTCAAAACAACCGTTCATGTTTCGACCCGAGAAATGTGCTTCCGTACTCCTCATACGCACGTTGAACATCGGAAACCGCACGCACGGCCTTTGTCGCAGACTGCACCACAGAAGTCGTCATGCTAAAATCTACAACCAAAGCATACAGTGACCGCATCCAATACCCCGTTCGCAGCCCGTTGTGCGATGAAAGGCGTTTTGTTCACCCACCTGTCCGTAGCCCTACCGTGGTCCAACTACGCACTCAACGGTCAACGCATACAATATCTCGTGCCACCTTTTGCATGAAAAGGCGTTCACACCCTCTTGGCGGCATTGGTCACCCCGCTCAACTACCCAACATGACGGTGAACGCGTCGTACATAACGCCCCCGTCACGCCTTCCAAGGCGTTCACACCCCCTTTTCGTTCACGCACCTTCGCGGCATTTGTCATCCTGCTCAACTACCACCATAACGGTAAACGCATAGTATTATACCCCCATCACCCCTGGTATGGTGTTCAAACCCGTTTCGTTCGCCCACCTGTCCGTCGCCTTGTCGTGGTAGTCGTTGTCGTGCTTGTTGGTGGCCTGGCGGAACTTCTTCCTCCACAGCGTCACCCTTACGGTCACGTAGCCGTACAGGCTGAGGGCCACGAAGGCCATCGTGGCCAGCCTCCAGTCGTCGAAGTTCACGTAGAACACGATCACCTGTTGCGTTGCAGAACGCCGCACGCATGAATTACCACCAAAGCAGACCAAGAGTGGGGATGGAATGACGAAAACAAAAAAAAACACGGTATACTACCAAAGCAGACCAAGAGTGGGGATGGAAAAACGAAAACCACAAAAAAACACGGTGAACCACCAAAGCAGACCAACAGTAGGGATGGAAAAACGAAAACAAAAAAAAATAACACGGTATACCACCAAAGCAGACCAAGAGTGGGGATGGAAAAACGAACACAATAAAAAAAACACGGTATACCACCAAAGCAGACCAACAGTAGGGATGGAATAACGAAAATAAATAGAAGCACGGTGTCAATCCAACACATGTTTTGATTCAATGGACACGTGCACCACAGTTTTGGAAAGAACGGGTCAAGCCAAAGCACGACAGTTATACAATACGCGTCACTACCTTGAGTAGCCCGGACGTGGATAGATTCAGGCCCAACAAAAAAGGTGACTTGTGGACCTGATCGTAAGCAGGTGCTCGGTTTCGAATCTAACAAGAATATATTAAGTCTATGCATCAATGGTTGACGTGATACCAACCAAAGGGACACAAACAAGAGCCCTTGGGGCAACACAAGAGATTCACCGTCAGTGGAGGCGCGTACTACTGTAGATGTCCGTCCAACAACAGCACCAACAGGACCGCCATCACCTACGCTACCAACCATTACCAACCAGAAGACTACCATGACCAACAGCAGCAACATCGCGGCACTACCGACAGCACCAACATCTCACCCGTGGTCAGACGACTACCGCGGCCACGACGAACATCATCCCCGCCCAATGACAACAACAACAACAACAACAACAACAACAACAACAACAACAACAACAACAACAACAACAACAACACCATCATCACTAAGTCGAAAACCCCCGTCCTCCCTCACCGTGGCTATGCACTCCGCGATGGCCGGCACGAGGTACAGGAAGAGGTAGGTGATGAGGTTGTTAGCCGCGTCTGTGCCCCTGTCCATCGACCTCACCACGTTACCCATCTTCTTCTTGAGGTGCCACTGCAAGGAGAGGGTGTGGAGGTGGGCGAACGACTGCTCCGCGATCTCGATGTAGGCCTGCTGCTTCACCCTGTTCGACATCGGGAGGACGTGGTTGACGGGCGGGTAGTTTCGGGTTCGGAGGTGTCGGCAAGAATCCAGTGTTGTGTCTTGAGGCGAGGAGCGGGCAGTATACTCTTCTCCCTCTGTGTCTGTGTCTGTCTCAGTCTCCCTCTCTTTCTGCCCCCCCCCCCTCCCCCTCCCTCCTTCTCTTGCTCTCTCTCTGTCTCTCTGTCTCTCTGTCTTTCTGTCTCTCTTTCTCTCTATTTATCTCTTTCTCCGTCTCCCTATCTCCCAGGGTCCTTCCCTCCCTTCCGCTTCCATCGCTTCCCAGTCTCTTCTCTCTCCGCATATCCCCATTCACATCTTGCAGCCATTGTGTACAAAACATTCGCTCACGTACTATTGCCACCTCCAAATCCAAACCCTTCCATCGTCTGCTGGGAAACCAAACTCCCCCCCCCCCCCCCCCCCCCCCCCNTTCACATCTTGCAGCCATTGTGTACAAAACATTCGCTCACGTACTATTGCCACCTCCAAATCCAAACCCTTCCATCGTCTGCTGGGAAACCAAACTCCCCCCCCCTCCCCCCCTCGATGTCTGTGACCCCCTGACTTACTTGAGGTAGACGAGGCTCTGAGCCTCCTTGAGAGCCTTGGCGGAAAACGCCAGGATGGCGTAGAGACCGACGTACTTCATGGTCTCGCCGAGGTCGCCGTGGTAGAGAGAGTTAGTGGCGTTACTCAGGAAGAACGGGCTTGTCACGCTGCAAACCTTTTGCAATGTATGCGAGGAGAACAAGGCGGCGGGGGGGGGGGGGGGGNGGGGGGGGGGGGGGGGGGGGGGGGGGGGGGGGGGGGAGGTCGCGGCTGACACAAGAGAAATAACGCAGTGCTACTAGGTATGAATAGGCTGAAAATAAGCTTAGCATCCAGCCGGTGCTCCTGGCACTCACGGTAAACACGTTCAACACGTATCCTTCAACTACAGCGGTATTACCTCAAACGGGTAGTCCTTCGGTGATTCCATGTACAATACTTCATGTTGAAACATATGTATTTCGATTTTTCCTGAATGTTGAGAGTGGCCGACCGGCCTGTACATGAAAGTTTTGTTCATATTTCTTGTCGGTCCTAGAATTCGATTCCACTCTTTTTCGCGGATTGTCTGTTGTCAGCATTTGGCGTTTTCCGCTCACTTCCGTTCTTGCGCTTGAATTCGATCATTTCTCGGTAACTTTCTTATCGACATTTTTTGTCCCATCAATCTTGGTCCTTCGACTCAACTCTTTCTTTTTTCGTTTCTTCTGCCTCTTTCTTCTTTTTCATTTTTTACAAAGTAAGAACTTTTCTTATTTTGTCATACCTTAGAGACGATGACGAACACCCACGTCATCGAGCTCCGCGTCCGGTTCATGAGCGCATTCGGCGTCCCGCCCCTGAGAGACACACAACACAAACAACCACGGTGCAGCAGTGCGCGAAAATCAAAAGGTACAGTAGCCGAAACATAGCAAGGTACAGACCGGACAGCAGGGACGGTGCCACGAGCAACCCAACAAACAAGCACTACCGCGGTTCGCAAAATACCATACCACACACCCCTGGACCGATTTTGAAAGCTCGATTACTCGTGGTCTCGTGGTATCCTCGTAATCCGCTAGTCGCAGAGGTCGTGAGTTCGAATCCCCATGGGGTGAAAAAAATTACGAAATGTGCGGGGGTGAAAGCGAGATATAGCTGACAAGCTCTCGTCAGTACCAAACTGCGACGTTAGCACCGTTGACGAGGGAAAGGGGACGGCTGGACCCTTCTTGCGATAAAAATAAAATTCAGCACGCACCACAGGAGGAAGGCGGGGCATGAAAAAAAATAAAAAGAAGAAAAAAGCCCTGGTGTTTACTCCCTCCTGTGTGACCTGGATCATTGTAGTTGTACGAAAAAATACACTGAAAAGTGTAGTACACGTCTCACCACGAACAATGGGGGGACTGTCGCCATAATTAATAGGACGAAAACACACGCAACACACTCCACGATGAAGAGGATACTGATATCAAACGGTACGTTTTCGGAGAGCTCTCGACGAGACGGTCCCAACGCCGACATTTTCGGCACTGTCGCTGCTGTTCCTGCGTAGAAATCGAGCTTCGAAAATCGGTGCAGGACGTGTGATATCTAATGCAATCCTACGGTACTCAACCGGAACTACACACGGCCCCCGCTGTGCAGCCGATGCCCCTGAGCCCCTGCCTGAGCGGTGCCGAGAGCGAATACCAACAGTGTTGCCTGCCGCATACTTCCTCCGGTCCGTCAGATAAGTTCGCTTAGCTCCTACACGAATAAACATCTCCCCCCGTTGTATCCAACAGTCGTCCTCTCCAAACATGATCAACCGTACGTGCTGGTTGCGCGCTACCTTGCGTACCCCTTCGTACTGACGGTAGTTCCGTTTCGTTGTCATGTTGATCCGCATGAATGTTCCCCCCAGGTGTGGTGCTTGCGTTGTGAGGGGGTTTTATCTTCTGTAATACACGACCGACGGCCGCTGTAGCTATTATTTTATTGTTGTCTCACTTGGGCCAGAAGTAGGGCTTGAGAACCCTGGCGAGCTGCATGATGGTCAGAGCCTTGGGCCCGTTGTCCTCCTCGATCTCCTCCGCTAGCTCCGCGCCATCGAGCTCATCTTCTTGGCCAGCCCGTAGCTTCTCGTAAAAAGATCTTTCGATAGGCGAGGGGAAGCGGCGGCAGGGTCACCGTTGCGAACTTCGACAGCAGTCGTTGAAACCGCCGTTGAACACGTTGAAAGCCGGCATTGAAATACTCATTCCAAAACGGCGTCGAAAACCGTCCTTGAAACCGGCATTGAAATAGTCTTTGAATTGGTTGAAACTGTCCATGAAACCGTCGTCGAATATTGAATTATCGAATTGACCCTGTCACGTTCTTGTAGGTAAACCCGCATAGGCTCGACGCCCGCGGGAAGACTTTGATGGTGGATACATGCAGGCATCCTAACGACAGGTAATATTCGCCGACCCCACGCAATCCCCTGATGCACCCTTCGGCACGGCGGTTGAAAGTCGATGGACGCGTGGACGCTCTGGAGGCTGGAAGCGCACGAGGAAATTAGTCGGTTCTATGACCTTTTATGCTCGTATATACTTGAGAATGGCGTGGGTATACCCACTTTTGTTCATTTCCCCTTTTCTTCTTTCTTTTTTCTCTTCCTTTCTAGCGTGACACTCTTTTTTCCTTTTCTTATTTTTGGTTGTGTCATTTTGCGTTTCGGTGGAACCTCTTATATCTTTCCCGTGATGCTGCCGTGATGCCGTGATGGGTGCCTCCTGCCCATACACGCACACTGCCCCAACGTCCAGCAGAGCAATGAGCGCGTTAGATTTGAATCCCGGTGCTACTAGTAGCGTAGAGCGCACCTCTTTATTTCATATTTCAATACCGCCAGGTAAACACCGCCATATTCCGGTGGTACCGGGACCGCCGAAGGCAAAACCACCATACTTTGGTGGCACCTGGCACCGCCGAAGGCGGTAGCGCAATATTTCAGTGCCTCCAGAAAAATATCGCCATATTTGGCAGTATCGGGGTCCGCCGAAGGTGGTGCCGCCGAAACACATAGTACCGGGGTCCGCCGAAAAAAGTACCGCCACATTGAAATACCGCCGAGCCTGTATCCGCCTAAAAAACCGGTACCAACGTGCATCCTGATTATATTACCGGTCGAACAGTGCCGGGTGCCCGGCATAGTGCCGGTGTTTTCGGCTCGCACACACTGACATACCAAGTCGTTCTGTACTCTGAATAGCGCCGGTGTCCGGTATAGTGCCGGCAAAGTCTCTGGACACATGCCACCAGGGAGGTCCATACTGTAAAAATGTTTGTGTGTGGCACTTCGTGATGTCACGGCAAGTATAAACTATTCCTGGTTTTGGCAGGACATATAACGATGAAGAGACAAAAAAAGGCACAATCGTCCCAATTCTCTTTCCTGGTCTACTTCCTCGGATAGCCCAACGTCACCCAGGTCATCATCGCCCCGGCCCACTCGCAGCTTTCGGAAGAGATACCTACGAAATGCGGGTGGAATTTACGGCGTACGTCCAGAGAAAAAAAAAATAAACAAAAACGTCAGACGCCGTACGAAAAAGACAGACGAAACACCCCCGCGGAACGCGATGCTAGTACCGGGTCACCTCGGATAGAAAAAACAAGTGCTTTTGTCGGCGTTCCACTCTTCCCGGGGTCGAAATGGGGAACTTGTTTTCAAGGTCCTTTTCGGCAACAACACCGTCCGAAACGCATGGGACGAAATAAAAGAAAAACGTGCTGTGGCGCTTCCCGTGTGTTCGCAGTATACCGTGGTATGACAACATCACCAGCAATGGATACATGTGGCCCGCTTCCGGAAATAAACGGAGCAAGGCAAGGGATGCTGAAGAGACCGACTCTGACAAGGTGCCGGTATACAAAGGAACAACGGCGAGTGTCACGGAAGGGCCGCGCCCACGGCGGCAGCACCCCATTTTCTCGGACGTGGTTGCCTCACGCATGCAACAAGATCTCAATATCTTCATCTGTGTTTCGCGGGGGCTTTCAAGAGGGCGGGCGGGAGGACTACTGAGCCAGCAGACACGCATACCGACGTGCTGTTCGGTTCGGCACTTTTTGACTACGGTCAGGCGGAATGAGCGTTTTGTCGTTGTTGTGTTTCTTTGTTTTTCACTCTACCACGACAACGTAAAAAAGCGATGCTCTTGTGCGTAGGAGTGGTGAAGAAACACAAAGAAAAAGGCAGATACCAGGTCATCCTTGTCTCGACAGTGTAAGCGTCATCGAACGAACGTCCAACAGGAGCGAAAAAAAGAAGAAAAAAAAACGCTCATTGGGCGAAGGGGAAATGGTCGAGGGGGCAGCGGCCTCCCATGTGGAGTCCCCTTCGACAAGAATTTTTTCTCGCGCGGCTCCCTTTAAAGGTAAATAGCTGCAGCAGTATATATAGGTGAATGGTCCCATTCTCTCCC